GAATACCGGATCAGACCACTGAGGATTATGAAAACCAGGACATGAAGCTCAAACACATCTAGAAAAAAGAGAAGCGAGTGCGGTGAGTATCTGTCGTGTGTGTGTGTGTGTGTGTGTGTGCTGGAGAATGACATCCCTTCATTCCCTCTATTTCTGTACGTGTCGTCTCCTCCAGCGTGGGACTGGTATGTGTCACGGGTCGACTGAGCTTTGACGAGGCCTGACAGAAAACACAAACTTCACGTTCGTTTCCTCGAGCGAAGGAAATTAACTCATTTTAGAAAGCGTGTTCGTTTCGCACTTTACCTTTGATGAGCGACTGCACACATGCCATCTAAATAAAATAATCTTTAGCAAAAATAAATAATGTTTTTGTGAGTAATAAGCTCTCATCCTGTATCATAAATCACGTTTTCCCTCTGGACCGCTCTACTTTTTTTGTCAATGTATGAGCGTTGCTCTCGCGTCTCGCGCCGTCTTCTGTTTCAAAGCAAAACCGCTTTCTGTGTGAACCAGCCCTAAGAATGTCTAGACCGTATGAAATACATCTGTACCTTAATTCCAGGTAAGATAATCATGTGAAACTTAATAAAACACAAGATCCCGCACACATGAGACAGGAGACACTGAGCAGAGGACGGAGAAACACTAATCTCATGAGCACAGAAATACATGAACATTTGTCAGAGTGGAAGCAAACTAAACGTCTGGTCTGAATAGAACACATGCATATGACTATAACTATAATGACTATATGACTATATGACTATATGACTATATAACTATATGACTATAACTATGAGTAAATGATATTAAAAGATGAAATAGACCAAAAGCATAAATGGATCAATACAAGAATAATGTTTGAAAGGATTAATCATAGAAATAACCATTAAAGAATAATCATAATAATCATGTAAATTGGAAGTGTTCTGTTAACTCTGCTAAACTATAATTACTAGAACTAAAACTGAAACTAAATATATAAAGGCTAAAAAGAAATGTGTTCACAAAATAAAAGCTAAATGAAAACTAACAAACCATTAATAAAACTAACTAAAACTAAACTGAAAATGATATTAAAATAAAAACTAATGTAAAAATGCAAAGCTATAATAAGCTTGAGTTGCACATTAGCATTAGCGCAGTGCCTGGTCTGAGATCAGCGGTTCGTGCTAGCGTTCGTGAGCATGTGCTCCGCTGGTCTTTATCTGCTGTTCCATGATCCGTGTTTGGGGTCGCGACCCGAGAGGAGTCACCGGACAGACGACATGCAGCAATCAGACGAAACGAAGATCCAGACGAACGCAGATCCAGGCGAACGCAGATCCAGCCTAACGCAGATCCAGACGAACGCAGATCCAGACGAACACAGATCCAGACGAAACGCAGATCCAGACGAACACAGATCTGCAGGAGATTACCCTGGTGTGCGCGCGCACTGGAACATGCTCTAGCCTAACGCAGATCCAGACGAACGCAGATCCAGACAAACACAGATCCAGACGAACACAGATCCAGGCGAACACAGAACTGAAGGAGATCACCCTGGTGTGCGCGCGCACTGGAACACGCTCTAGCCTAACACAGATCCAGACGAACACAGATCCAGACGAACACAGATCCAGACGAACACAGATCCAGACGAACACAGATCCAGACGAACACAGATCCAGACGAACACAGATCCAGACGAACACAGATCCAGACGAACACAGATCTGCAGGAGATTACCCTGGTGTGCGCGCGCACTGGAACACGCTCTAGCCTAACACAGATCCAGACGAACACAGATCCAGACGAACACAGATCCAGACGAACACAGATCCAGACGAACACAGATCCAGACGAACGCAGATCCAGACGAAAGCAGATCCAGACGAACACAGATCCAGACGAACGCAGATCCAGACGAACACAGATCCAGACGAACACAGATCCAGACGAACACAGATCCAGATGAACACAGATCCAGACGAACACAGATCCAGGCGAACACAGATCTGCAGGAGATTACCCTGGTGTGCGCGCGCACTGGAACATGCTCTAGCCTAATGCAGATCCAGACGAACGCAGATCCAGACGAACACAGATCCAGACGAACACAGATCCAGGCGAACACAGAACTGCAGGAGATCACCCTGGTGTGTGCGCGCACTGGAACATGCTCTAGCCTAACGCAGATCCAGACGAACGCAGATCCAGACGAACACAGATCCAGACGAACACAGATCCAGGCGAACACAGAACTGCAGGAGATCACCCTGGTGTGCGCGCGCACTGGAACACGCTCTAGCCTAACACAGATCCAGACGAACACAGATCCAGACGAACACAGATCCAGACGAACTCAGATCCAGACGAACACAGATCCAGACGAACGCAGATCCAGACGAACGCAGATCCAGACGAACACAGATCCAGACGAACGCAGATCCAGACGAACACAGATCCAGACGAACACAGATCCAGACGAACACAGATCCAGATGAACACAGATCCAGACGAACACAGATCCAGGCGAACACAGATCTGCAGGAGATTACCCTGGTGTGCGCGCGCACTGGAACATGCTCTAGCCTAACGCAGATCCAGACGAACGCAGATCCAGACGAACACAGATCCAGACGAACACAGATCCAGGCGAACACAGAACTGCAGGAGATCACCCTGGTGTGTGCGCGCACTGGAACATGCTCTAGCCTAACGCAGATCCAGACGAACGCAGATCCAGACGAACACAGATCCAGGCGAACACAGAACTGCAGGAGATCACCCTGGTGTGCGCGCGCACTGGAACACGCTCTAGCCTAACGCAGATCCAGACGAACACAGATCCAGACGAACACAGATCCAGACGAACGCAGATCCAGACGAACGCAGATCCAGACGAACACAGATCCAGACGAACACAGATCCAGACGAACACAGATCCAGATGAACACAGATCCAGACGAACACAGATCCAGGCGAACACAGATCTGCAGGAGATTACCCTGTTGTGCGCGCGCACTGGAACACGCTCTAGCCTAATGCAGATCCAGACGAACGCAGATCCAGACGAACACAGATCCAGACGAACACAGATCCAGGCGAACACAGAACTGCAGGAGATCACCCTGGTGTGCGCGTGCACTGGAACACGCTCTAGCCTAACGCAGATCCAGACGAACGCAGATCCAGACGAACACAGATCCAGACGAACACAGATCCAGGCGAACACAGATCTGCAGGAGATTACCCTGGTGTGCGCGCGCACTGGAACACGCTCTAGCCTAACGCAGATCCAGACGAACGCAGATCCAGACGAACACAGATCCAGACGAACACAGATCCAGGCGAACACAGATCTGCAGGAGATCACCCTGGTGTGCGCGCGCACTGGAACACGCTCTAGCCTAACGCAGATCCAGACGAACGCAGATCCAGACGAACACAGATCCAGACGAACACAGATCCAGACGAACACAGATCCAGACGAACACAGATCCAGACGAACGCAGATCCAGACGAACACAGATCCAGACGAACACAGATCCAGGCGAACACAGATCTGCAGGAGATTACCCTGGTGTGCGCGTGCACTGGAATACGCTCTAGCCTAACGCAGATCCAGACGAACGCAGATCCAGACGAACACAGATCCAGACGAACACAGATCCAGACGAAACGCAGATCCAGACGAACACAGATCCAGACGAACACAGATCCAGACGAACACAGATCCAGACGAAACGCAGATCCAGACGAACACAGATCCAGGCGAACACAGAACTGCAGGAGATCACCCTGGTGTGCGCGTGCACTGGAACACGCTCTAGCCTAACGCAGATCCAGACGAACGCAGATCCAGACAAACACAGATCCAGACGAACACAGATCTGCAGGAGATTACCCTGGTGTGCGTGCGCACTGGAACACGCTCTAGCCTAACGCAGATCCAGACAAACACAGATCCAGACGAACACAGATCCAGACGAAACGCAGATCCAGACGAACACAGATCCAGACGAACACAGATCCAGGCGAACACAGAACTGCAGGAGATCACCCTGGTGTGCGCGTGCACTGGAACACGCTCTAGCCTAACGCAGATCCAGACGAACGCAGATCCAGACGAACACAGATCCAGACGAACACAGATCTGCAGGAGATTACCCTGGTGTGCGTGCGCACTGGAACACGCTCTAGCCTAACGCAGATCCAGACAAACACAGATCCAGACGAACACAGATCCAGACGAACGCAGATCCAGACGAACACAGATCCAGACGAACACAGATCCAGACGAACACAGATCCAGATGAACACAGATCCAGACGAACACAGATCCAGGCGAACACAGATCTGCAGGAGATTACCCTGGTGTGCGCGCGCACTGGAACACGCTCTAGCCTAATGCAGATCCAGACGAACGCAGATCCAGACGAACACAGATCCAGACGAACACAGATCCAGGCGAACACAGAACTGCAGGAGATCACCCTGGTGTGCGCGTGCACTGGAACACGCTCTAGCCTAACGCAGATCCAGACGAACGCAGATCCAGACGAACACAGATCCAGACGAACACAGATCCAGGCGAACACAGATCTGCAGGAGATTACCCTGGTGTGCGCGCGCACTGGAACACGCTCTAGCCTAACGCAGATCCAGACGAACGCAGATCCAGACGAACACAGATCCAGACGAACACAGATCCAGGCGAACACAGATCTGCAGGAGATCACCCTGGTGTGCGCGCGCACTGGAACACGCTCTAGCCTAACGCAGATCCAGACGAACGCAGATCCAGACGAACACAGATCCAGACGAACACAGATCCAGACGAACACAGATCCAGACGAACGCAGATCCAGACGAACACAGATCCAGACGAACACAGATCCAGGCGAACACAGATCTGCAGGAGATTACCCTGGTGTGCGCGTGCACTGGAATACGCTCTAGCCTAACGCAGATCCAGACGAACGCAGATCCAGACGAACACAGATCCAGACGAACACAGATCCAGACGAAACGCAGATCCAGACGAACACAGATCCAGACGAACACAGATCCAGACGAACACAGATCCAGACG